AAAAGGAAAATAACTTGACGATGAGGGTTTCTTTACACAAAGCATATTTTCCTTTTTCAAACTATGTTTAATTTATTGGTTATACAGGTTAATGGGTTTTATTTTGGCACATTAATATATAGAGATTCATATATACATATTTGTGCATTTTTACTCCCCTGTCACTCCCTATGTCCACCCTCTCCCCTAGTTTCACTTCGTTTTTTTTTGGGGGGGGGTTCAATGTGTATGGTGTGTACTACCACAGATACGCTGATTTTAATTGCTTCAGTTATATACCTAGGAATGGTATGGCTTCTAGGTTAAATAGTAGCTCTATTTTGAGGAGCCTCCAGTCTGATTTCCATAGTGTAGAAGTGTTCCTCTCCATCTAGTCCTGGCAAACATTTCTTTTCTTTTCTTTTCTTTTTGGTACCCAGGATCGAACTCAAGTCCTTGCACTTACGCATTAGGCAGCGAAACCACTGAGCTAAATCCTCGGCCCTATTTTCTATCCTTGATGACAGTTAGTCTGCCTGGGGTGAGATGAAATCTCAATGTAGTTCTTTTTTAATTTAATTTTTTTTTTTTGAGATGGGGTCTCACTATGAATTCAGGCTGGCCTTGAACTCTATGCAGCCCAGGCTGGGCTTGAACTCCTAGCAATCTTCCTGCCTCAGGAAGAATCCCAAGTTCTGGGATTCCAGGCATGTGCCACCATGCTGAGATGCTCAGTGTAGTTCTGATTTGTGTTTCCCTAATGCATGTTGAACATTCATTTTGTTTTTTGAACATTCTTTCACATACTTATTGACCATTTGTACTTCTTTTGAGAAGTGTCTAATTCATTTGCCTATTTATTGATTGGGCTATTTGACATTTTCAGTGCTAAGTTTTTTGAGTTCTTAATATATTCTTTTGTTGTTGTTTGTTTTTTTTTTTTGAGACAGGGTCTTGCTATGTAGCTTAGGCTGGCTATGACTTGACTATCTAGCGCAGGCTGGCCTTGAACTTGTGGCAGTCCTCCTGCCTCAGCTTCCCAAGTGCTGAGATTACAGGTATGTGTCACCACACCTGGCTTCTTTATACATTCTTGATAATAATCCTTTATCAGAAGAGTAACTGGTAGAGATTTTCTCCCACTCTGTGGGCTATGTCTTCACTCTGTTAGTTGTTTCACTTGCTGTGCAGAAACTTTTTAATTTGATGTAGTCCTATTTGTTGACTCTTGGTATTATAAAATAATCCTGTTACTAAAGTCCTATTCAGGAAGTCTTTGTGCCTATGGCCTCAAGTGTATCCCCCATGGTGTTTTTTGTTTGTTTTGTTTTTATTTTAGCAGTTTCAATTCTTTTCAAATTATTTATTTATTTATTTATTTACTTACTTTTGGCTTTTTGACACAGGGTCTCACTATGTAGCTCAGGCTAGCCTTGAACTCACTATATATCCCAGGCTGGCCTCCCATTTAGGCGGTCCTCCTGATTCAGCCTCACAGAGAGCTGGGATCACAGGCGTGTGCCACCATGCCGGGCTCCATGTGAATTTTAGGACATTCTAGGTCTGTAAAGAATGTCGTTGGTATTTTGATGGAGATAGCATTGAATCTATAAATTTCTTTTTGGTAATACAGCCATTTTGGCAGTACAGTATACCCCTGCAAAGTCGCAGTTCAGGGTTCACCAACTCAGTCGTTCCCGGATTTTTCCTTAGAACCTTAGTAATTGTTTGGGGAAACTCGAAATTTTGCAGAAACCACAAATACCTTCCACAATCTTTTTTTTTTTGGTGGGAGGTTTGCAAGTAGCCAATCCGAGAGTGCTATTCAATTCTCTTTGCTGCTGATTGGCTACTGCCTGTATCTCATCTCTGCAGAGGCACCAGCGTTCCTGCATCATAACAGGTTGCTGTACCGCCTGTAGCTATCTTCACTGTTCTCGGTTTTGTATTTCTTAAAGCCCTAAAAGCCCTAAGATGCTGCCTAAACGTCTTGCACTTTCTATGGTTTTATTAATACACTATTTTATTAAATTACATAACTGCAGGGCACATAGCATATTTAGGGTTTAAACTATAAAATTAGGCATTTTTCTGACCATATCCAAAATTCGAGGTTTCCCACAATTCGCAGGTAACCCCCACGAATATCGGGGGCCCACTATATTGATTCTGTCAATTCATGAACGTGGGAAATCTTTCTATCTTCTGGTGTCTTCAATTTCTTTCATCAGTGTTTTCAAATTTTCACTGAAGAGAGTTTTCACTTCCTTGATTAGACTGATCCCTAGGCATTTTATTCTATTTGAAGCTATTGTGAATGGAGAAAGCACATATTTTAACCAAAATGGAAACCAGCCTGCTTCAGAGCAAGCACAGAATCCTAACCAACAGTTAGGAAGGTCACCAAAGCCTGGGGGAGGGGTCTTGGGGCCTCGCTTGCTTCAGTAAGCTATACCACCCCCTTCAGCGCAGGGAGCCCACAACATTTGGGCAGGTCGATTGGTAAAAAGAAATATGTATGTATTGACTGTGGGTGGATTGCAGGCTTCCAGGAATTTGTCAACTGGAACCAATTTCTCACTCTTTGCCCTAGAGCCAGCAAAATGCCTAGGGCTGTAGGTTAAACTAAACGTTTTATGCCCCACTACTAGAAAGTACCAGCCCTGACCAACCTCTTGGTAAGGAGAGCACCGTGTGGTCTTTGCAACAAAAGTGTTTCTATCATTGTCCTTTCCAAAGGGAGACCTATTAGATTTTGAACACAATATTGTAAGGTTAAGGGTCTTAGGCTTGGGGCATGGTGGTGCATACCTGTAATCCTAGCACTGGGGGAGGCTGAAGCAGGAGGATTGCCATAAATTTGAGGCCAGCCTGGACTACATAGCGAGATCCAGTTTAAAAAAAACAAAAAAAAGTCTCAGGCTCCACTAACTGAGCTACCCACGGAACATCTACAGGATCACAAGTCCTATGTCAGGAGATCAAGATTTACATTCGGAGGGGCCGAAAGGCTTTGAGAAGTAAACGCTCGAGTATTGTATTACCTGTCGCTTACTGTGTCCAGCTTGGTCCTAGGCACCCCACCTCGAGGATTTAAAGCCTACGGATCCCTCCCCTTGAGAAAGGTTGCCGCATCAACTTTTCAGCCGAAGAGCAAGACATGAGATGAGGTGAGACCTCTAAATTTACGTTGCGAATCTTGAACTTTGCTCTGCTTCAGTCCCGCCTGTCTCCCCTCAAATCGAGGAACAGATAAACACATACATCTGTGCTTCTATGGGACAACTCTTTGCAACTCGAGAAAGGGATGGGGAGGTGGTGAAAGGCAGGTTAGAAAAGAAACAAATAAACAAAAAAACCTGTTTCCGCCCGGTTTCGAACCGGGGACCTTTCGCGTGTGAGGCGAACGTGATAACCACTACACTACGGAAACCAGCGCCGGAAAGGCTCTCTCTTGCCTGAACCTTCAGATGTTGACAACTAACTGCTGTGAGCTACCAGAATGCCAGCGGGTCGGGGGCGTTTCTGCATCGCCGGCCGGCGAGCTGTGTGTGCCTCCTGTGACAGACTTCGCGCCAGCAGCCCCAGAAGCTTCGGGGATCGCCAGATCTCACCCGCGGAGTTTCGCGGTTTGGCAGCGTTCAGTTCGGCGTTCGCAGGAGCCAGAGCATCCCCCTCAGAAGCACAGCGTCCACCTGAAGATTTCCACCCGGCAACTTGTACCTACGGAGCCCTGGCATCGCGCAATGCCTAACACCCAGTGGAAATTCTCCACCTAAATCGTGCTCCGGTAATCCCCCCGCCCCGTTTAAAAATTTAAATGAGATATTTCAATGAACCACCAAGCACTATTTCTATTGAACAGAGTCAACTGGCAGGCACGTTCTGGGGAACACAGCAACATCTTTACTGTAGTTCTCAGACCTGGAATACATATGGTGCACACCTCAAAAGGTATTTGTTGGATGAATAGATGACGCTACGAAAAACTATTTTTTCTTTAAAACAAAGACATCGGTGTGGTTCACAACGCAAAGGATACGGAACTCTATGTAGGGAAATAAATGTCTTTCCTATCCCTTCCTCTCAAACTTCCCACACAAACTGTACTGGTATTTTTGCACAGATGACGATGACGACAAAGGCTGGCCCACCCTTATATCGCTTTTGTCACATGCTAAGCAGCACTTCCATCCCTTTGAAATTTTCACATCTTGTGAGGTGGGAACTGTGGTAAGTGCAGGGATATAAAGATATCAAATGCATTAACATTCTCTCTCCTTTTTAAAAAAGTGGTAGTATACTTCACTGTTCAGCAGCTTGCACATTTACCCCATCCTTGAAGCGGAGTCTCTTTTTTACAGCTAGTGTTTCACTGTGTGGATGTGGGTGTAATGACTTGTCCTCCTTTCCTTACTAGGGAGGTTTATTAAAACGACGACACGGTGACCAACTGGAAGTTTCTAAAATGGGTGTGGGAATGCCAACTACAACATAGCTGGGGAGGACCGCTCAGCTCTGGCTCCGCCTCCTGACCGGAGCTGGAGGGTCCCTCTGACTCTCTAACTACAAAGTCCTCCGCCTAGAAGAGCCGGAAGTGCTTCAGGGCGTTTGCCGGTCTCCGCCTCTTCACTTCCGGTACCAGCTGTGGGGAATCCCTGGTGCAGTCCTCAGTTCTCGGTCGGGAGAATGGCACCTGGCCAGTGCAGTCCTAACACCGACGGCGGACAGCTGCCAAACGCCACCACCTTCCTTCGTAGTTTTGGAACCGTGGCGGAGGATGGGGATGGGTAGTTTTATTCGGTCCAAGTTCCTCCCTCCGCATCACAGAGACGTGGGCCTCCTCCGTCCTAGCCTTCCCAACAGCTCCTGAGTTTCGGCTAGAGCGTCTTCTCGCCGTTTCCTGTCACCGTGGGGCCCGGGGGAGGGGAAGAAGGGGGCGTAGCCGGACAGCAGAAGGACCTCGCGATGCACAGATACCGGAAGTGTTGGGAGGGAGGCGGAAGGGAGGGGGCGTGGCCAGGAAGTGAGGAGGGGCGGGGGGGTTTATGAGGAGGCCGGGGGAGCATTGGAGCAAATTTGCACTCAGGGCCACCTGAGGGACTTGTCCGTGGGGGCTCAGCTCTGTCCCCTCCCCTCGCAGAGACACGGTTGTCGTATGGGAGTAGGGAACTGTGGAGGGGTGTATGGTTGGGGGAATATTTTTCTGGCTGCGCTTCAGGCAGGGTGTGCTGAAGCTGGACTGGGGGTGGGGCCTGGTTGCCCGGGAGTCTAAGAGGGCAGACCCCCCCCCTCCCCCCGCACCCCCCACCGCACCTCTCCACTGGCTGACTGGATACTAAGATGGCTGCCGTTGCCATGACACCCAACCCTGTGCAGACCCTTCAGGAGGAGGCGGTGTGCGCCATCTGCCTCGATTACTTCACGGACCCGGTGTCCATCGGATGCGGGCACAACTTCTGCCGAGTGTGTGTAACCCAGTTGTGGGGCGGGGAAGATGAGGAGGACAGGGATGAGTTGGAGCGGGAGGAGGAGGAGGAGGAGGAGGAGGAGGAAGAGGAGGACGGAGAGGAGGAGGAAGTGGAGGCAGTGGGGGCCAGCGGGGGCTGGGACACTCCCATGCGGGAGGAAGATTTTGAAGGCGACATGGAGGAGGAGGTAGAAGAGGAAGAGGAGGGTGTGTTCTGGACCACTGGCATGGGTGGGTCCAACTGGGACAACATGGACTACGTGTGGGAGGAGGAGGACGAAGAGGAAGACCTGGACTACTATTTGGGGGACATGGAGGACCTGAGAGGGGAGGATGAGGAGGACGAGGAAGAAGTGCTGGAGGAGGATGAGGAAGAGGAGCTAGACCCCGTCACCCCACTGTCCCCACCTCCAGCCCCTCGGAGGTGCTTCACTTGTCCCCAGTGCCGGAAGAGCTTTCCTCGGCGGAGCTTCCGCCCCAACCTGCAGCTGGCCAACATGGTCCAGGTGATTCGGCAGATGCACCCAACCCCGGGGCGAGGGAGCCGCGTGAACGAGCAGGGTATCTGTCCGAAACACCAAGAAGCCCTGAAGCTATTCTGCGAAGTGGATGAAGAGGCCATCTGTGTAGTGTGCCGAGAATCCAGGAGCCACAAACAGCACAGTGTGGTGCCATTGGAAGAGGTGGTGCAGGAGTACAAGGTGAGAGAAGTAAAGAGAGCAGATCGAGTTGTGTGGGGGTGGAGAGGAAGTAAGGGGAACTAGGAAGAGGAGACATCAGTTCCCCTTGAAGAGCTTCCTGTGCTGGTGGGCTGATTCTGTACAAGCACTTAATGGCACCAGGGTGGGTTGCAATGAGAAGGATCCTGTACACACACAAATCAGACACAGTGAAGAAGACTGAGGAAAGAAGCAAGTGGGCCCACGCCAGGTCACTGGGCTGTCTTCTTGGGAGGGGACACTGCAGTTTCACGCTTGCACTGTTGCGGAGAGTGGGGGTGTGAGTGACAGGTTCTTAAGGCTTCACTACCAGTTTGAATTTTTTCTGGGTGAATTTTAAGCCTTCCATTGGGGTTTTTAAAGATGGAAAGAAATGGGGGCCTCAACAAGAAAGGGGTCTGAAACCGGCGTGTAGAAATGGGTAGTGTTAGGCCCAAATGCCCTGCACTTGCATCCATCCCATGATATGGCTTGGCTCCCCGCTGGAGAACTGTGGTTGGCACTGCACCAGTTAGATATACTGACCAGAAAAGAGGGAAAGAAGCTTTTGTTTCGGGGTTTTTGAGACAGAGTCCTGTTACATAGTTCAGGCTGGTCTGGAACTCAGGTGATCCTCCTGCCTCAGCCTCCCAAGTGCTGGTCTTACAGGCTTTTGCCACCACACCTCGCTCCTAGAAAAAGGCTTTAAGGTAGGGCCTCTGCCCCACTCTCAAATCTTGGTCACATCTCTGAGTATCTTTGAACTTTAATTTCCCCAGGATTGAGAGTTAATATGGTATTTACTGGCCACTTAATACATACAGTGGGCACTTTTTTTTTTTATACAGTGGGCACTTTTCATGGTTCATCATGTAAGAGTCAACCATCCTGTGAGTTTGATGTTTTCTATTCCCATTTTCCAGATTGGGAAACCGAGGTTTAAATACTGTACACAGGGCCACGAAATGCTAGTAAGTGATGGACTTTGTTATGACTGTTTTTGCCCCTGGGATATACTGTTAATAATGACACCATGATTTGTATGTTTGCTTTTACCTTGAGTTTTCTGACATGTGATTTTTCTTCTTGGAGTCTGATTCTAATTTGGTTAATGTCTTGCTTTCTACCTGTGAGCCTAACTCTTTGGACATAAGTAAAGGAGATTTGTTTGAGTCACTAGCTCAAATAGGACTACTCTGCAATGGCCTGAGTAGGTTTGAAGCAGTAGGACCAGCAGGAAGATAATGTAGCCTCTGTTTGGTCTGCACAGAGCTCTTTTATTTTGACTGGTGTTTTCACCTTTTCTAATTCCTTCATTAATTTATATTCCTTCATAAACTACAGTATTATTACTACAGTTTTTTTGTTTTTTTTTTTAAACAGGCTCTTGCTATGTAGTAAGGCTGACCTTGAACTCATGGCAGTATTCCTGCCTCAGCCTCCTAAGTGCTGTGATTATAGGTATGTGCCACCACACCCAGCATCATTACAATTTTAGAGTAATGTGTTTGAGGTTTCTTAGCTCTGAGTGGCAAACTAAGACCAACTATCATTACTTCATCTCACTGCACACAGTGATTGTCAAGCCTGGCTGATTGTCAGAGTTACTAGGGGAGGTTTTCAAAGTACAGTTGCCCCTACCCTAGAGATTCTGAATCGGTGAAGAGTATATGTTTAGAAAGCCCAGCCTGAGTGTAGTGGTGCACACTTGTAATCCCAGCACTCTGGGAGGCAGAGGCAGGAGGAATGCATGTTTGAGCCCAGCATAGGCCACATAGGGATTCTTCATAACACCCTGTCTCAAAATAAAATAAAAAATAAAAACAGAGCTGGGGATGTAGCTCAGTGTGAAGGCCCTGGATTCAGTCATGGTAATTGTTGCATTTCACATTGTCTACTTGATAAGATCTACCTTTTTAGGCGAGGTTGTCAGGAACTTTTGTCCTTTTTATATTCCCTCAGCTAAGTAGCTGAACCCATCATAAAATGTATGGTCAGTTTGTTAATTGGAATGCAGGGCTGATTATCCATGGGTGTTCTATCCTTTTTTTTCATCTGTAGGACTACAGTACTTCTGAAACTAGATTTTAATTTGTATTAGCCACATTTTTTGAATGCCTGATGTCTGAAAACCCTGGACTCGGTGCCAAAGTTGATGAGAAATTAAAAGAAGTTATAATCCCTAGCTTGGATTCTATTTGAAGCCAGATTAACAGTTAATCTCAGGCTGGGGATGTAGCTCAGTGATAGAACACTAGCCTAGCTTGTACAAAGGCCTGGGTTCAATCCTCAGATTTTAAAAAAAAAAAAGGTGAGCATGGTGGCATATGCCTGTAATCCCAGCACTTGGGAGGCTGAGAAAGGAGAATTGCCTCTGTTTGAGGCCAGCCTGGGCTACACAGTGAATTCAAGGCCAGCCTGAACAGCATGGTGGAACTCTGTCTCAAAAAACAAAACGAAACACTTAATCTGACATAAACTGATCAGCAAATGAAAATGTCGAATGCACTTGGTTATGCAGATATAATTTGAGTGAGTCCCTTTCAGATTTATAGGCTGTTGTATATAGGTAGGTGATTTATCCTTCTTATACACCAGCACTAACTTGATACAGTGTTGTTTTGTAGAAATATTTTCTTATTGAGTGGGTAGTTGCACAAATTGCACATAAACAAAGCTCCTAAAAAGTTAAATGTCTGAAAATTTCGCTTAAATAGTACTCTTAGATTTGTGCTTATGAATTCTTTGTTAGTAATTCAATAAAAATATTATTTTGTTATGAATTTTGAATATAGATTATTGACTACTGTGAAGAAATAGTAATATTAAAAGGCAAAATTTGTGAAGTTATTCTAATAGAATAATGGTAAATTTATTATTGTAATTTTTTTCCATAGCCACTTGTGCAACAACTGCCTTTTGTCACTAGCAGCTTTGTACTTAGGTAGCATCTGCTAGGTAACATTTTCGGATTTTTTGCCAAGACACTATGCTAAGTACACTATCCATGAGGTAATTTTTTTTTTTAAGACTTCAAAGGAGTTTTATTTTCCTAAGGGCCTAGGGGGACTTTACAAGAGTCTGAAACCAATAACTGGAAAGGAAGATAAATAAAATACAAAGCCAGTATGTTGTGACAAAACTCCAGAAAACACTGACAAAAATCTTTATAGTTTAAAACTGCTCCATAAAGTATATTCTATTTCCATTTTAAGCTGAGGAAACTGGAAGCATGACTTGTTTCAGATCATCTAGCCGCATTCCTGTCCTGATTGGAGTCTAGGTTTGAGTTCTACTCTGCTGTTTTCCACCAAGGAAAAGAAGGGGTACAAGGCAGAAGTAGAAGACATAAAAAAAGGAAAGAACTAGGTGAGGCTTATTTCATACATTTTAGTCTAAACAGGTCTTTATTTTTATTTTTTTGGTTTTTGAGACATGGTCTCACTATGCAGTTCAGGCTGGCCCTGAACTCACTATGTAGCCCAGAATGGCCTCAGATTCTCAATGATGGATGGGTGTGGTGGCACATGCCTGTAATCCTAGAACTTGGGAGGAGGCCGGAGGATCACCTTGGGCTACACAGTGAGTTCAAGCCCAGCTTGAAATACACAGTGAAACCCTGTCTCAAAAAACAAAAACAAAAACTCTCAATGATTTTCCTACATCAGCCTTCTGATTGCTGGGATTGTAGGTATGTACCACCATGCCCAGCTTTAACAGACTTTTAAAGAAAGACTCAGCTACAAATTGTTGGAAAACAAAGCGCATGTGCCTAATTGCTTTAGTTGTAAATTTAGAAAAAAGGAGCTGGGCCTGGTGGCACATGCCTATAATCCCACAGTCTGAGAGACTGAGGCAGGAGGATGCAAATTTAGGCCTGAGGGAATAGGTGGGTAGCTTGGGCAATTTAGGGACTAAGTGAGAGCCTGTCTCAAATAAAAGGGCTGGGGATATAACTCCGTGTGAAGGCACTGAGTCCATTAACCAGTACCAAAGAAAAAAGTTTTTTGTTTATATTTTCCATTTAGCAAATAATTAAGTAGAAGAGAAAACAGAAACAAATATTAAGTGGAAGCAGGGACCCAGTACAGTGCCCTGGGAGAAGCACACTTTTTAAAATTAGTGCTGTGGGAAGTAGTGTGAAAGTTTTATTCCCATTTCCTTGAGATCACAGAGAAACTTGGGGACCCGGAGAATCAGGCCTGTGGTCATGGAGATGGTTTTTAAAGGAAGACTGCTTTGGATGCAATTATAGGTAAAAAAAATACAGATTGTTGCCCAATGTGGTGATGTGTGCCTATAATCCCAGCACGTGGGAGGCTGAGGCAGGAAGATTGCCACAAGTTCAAGGCCAGCCAGGGCTCCTAGTGACTTCAAGTTGAACTACATAGAAAGACCCTGTCTCAAAGTGTTGTTTTACTTGACTGAAATTAGAGGGATGGTATAGGAGGTGGAGCCAAAAAATGTAAGGGTCAATAATTTGGAAGTGATTGAGAACCACTCAAAGATTTTTAGCATGGGCACAAGATCATCAGAAAAGTATTTAGAGATGAAGGTTGTAAGGAAGATCAATAAGGACTTCATGTGGTAAGAGGCTTTAAGCCATGTTCACCTCACCTATTGATTGTAGAGCTTTGTAGCCATAAGGATCTCACCTTTAGAGAATGCACAAAGGGCTTCTCTGTGTGAGAATAGGGGAGGATTGGAGGCTTTTGGTGTCATCTGAGAAAAGAGTGGGGAGGAGGAAAAGCTTGACCTCTATGCTGGGTCATCCAGCTCTGAGACCCACCCCACCAGGGAGAATTGGAGAGGTAGGCTCTGAAGGACAGGACCTCTCCTGGCCTGCCCCTCTAACCTGCTCTTGCATGTTCCCTCAGGCCAAGCTGCAGGGACATGTGGAACCCCTTAGGAAGCACCTGGAGGCTGTGCAGAAGATGAAGGCCAAGGAGGAAAGGCGAGTGACAGAGCTAAAGGTGGGTGAATGTCCTTCCACAGGCTGATTTTGTGATCAGGGCAAAGAAAATGGGGCTGCCCACTCACAAGTGATGACTAGATTCTCAGGAGGGTACAGCAAGGCCTGGGAGAGGGATAGATGCTTTCCCATGGACCTGAGGAAATGAAGCTTCAAGGGTTGGGAAACATGTTACTGGCCTGGCAAGGTTGGGTGGCTGGCCCAAGGCTGCAGAGCAAGGCCTTCTGTCCAGACACCTAACCCGACAGTGGCTAGGACAGTGAGCAGAAGGGGGCAAAACCTACACAGCAGCCATCAGAGAAGCCCCAGGTCTCAGGATAAATAGAAGTGGCTGGCAGAGTACTGTGAGCATGAGAGAGATGTGGTCCTGAGAGGCTTTTGATGTTCCAAGAGGGGCCCAAGGTATGTAGAGGAAGGAAGGAATTAGTGAACATTAGCATTGCAGGGACCTACCGTTTCATAGTTCAGTGTTTCTTAGCCCTTTTTCATTATTACTCACCCCTCCTCATGGAGTCTTTTAAAATATTCTCCCATTAATTCCTCCCTCCTCTCCCTCTCTGCCTGTCTTTGTATATAAGTCCAGTAGGCCTGCTGGAATGGACTGGGACTGTGAACTTCAGAGACCAAACCAGGACATTTCTTTCTGTCTCTTCCTCTCCCTTCCAGCACCTGCCTGTGGTCAGAATCTGGCATTGCCACTTCTCATTGTCACCTACACATTAGGAACTCTGCCATTGGCAAATACATAGCACTGAATAGTAGAATGTGAGTCTGGGAGTCATTCTCCCTCTGACAAACTACCCAAATTGATACTTTTGGGCTCTCTGGGATGAATAGATGTGCCAGATCTGAGTACCATTCAGTCACAGAGTGAAACTGGTGTGATAGCTTCATTTCTCACCCACTTGGCCTACCAGGATCTCCTTCCTACTCTGGCTACTCTTTGTCCAGAGAATGTCTCCAGCTGATAGTAATGGGTGGAAAATGTTCCTACATCCCAGGTTGGTCCAAGCAAATTGGGTGAGATTAGACAGGTTTGTTTCTTTATACAATATAGAGTTGGTCCTTTGTATCCATGAGTTCCACATCCATGCATTCACCCAACTTTAGATTGAAAGTATTTGGGAAAAACAACTGCATCTGTACTTAACATGTATGGACCTTTTTCCCTTGTCATTAGTCCCTAAATAATACACTAGAACAACTGTTTGCATAGCATCTACATTGTCTTTGGTATTATAAGTAATGTAAGTGTGTTTCATGTATGTAGGGCTTGCAAGGCAGGTGGCAGAACCACTGAGCTAAATCCCCGGCTCTAGATTTTGTTATTCTGGAACTAAGCCCCCTTGAATACCTGGGGACCCCATACCTACATAATATCCTTGATTTTGTCTCTTCGCCCTCAAAATGTAAAATATTCTCTGTCTGACCTTTACAGAAGAGTTTGCTGATTCCTGATCTAAAGGGCTTGAGTGACTCTCCTAAAGTCACAGTAACTAGCTGGGTGTGGTGGCACAGGCCTATAATCCCAGCACTAGGGAGGCTGAGGCAGAAGGATCACTCCAGGTAGGCCAGCCTGGGATACATAATGAGTTCAAGGCCATCCTAGACTAATAGTGAGACCATGTCTCAAACAAAACAAAAATAAACAAAAACAGAAAAGTTATTATACTTAACTGTATAGTGAGAACTCTAACATCATTTCTTGATTCCTGAATTCTCTTGATTTAAAAAGTACTTGCTTTTGTCGCAGTTGGCACTATACCAGAGTCTGACAACACTGTTGAAAAAAGACATACCTACTCCCTGCCACTGAATGCTTAAGGTACAGTAAGGGAGAATTTTAAAAACTAGCTCATTCTAAACATACATACAGCATGGAGGGAAAACTGATATTTATGGAGGTAGTGCTGATTAAGATCTGGAGGGGAAAAGTTAGTTTTGGAACATGTAAATTTAAACTCAGAGAGGCAAGTTAGGTGTAGATAAGTGTACCAAGTTGGTGAGTTTAGGACCAGTGTGCCAGAAATAGACATGGGGAATAAGGGCTCCTTTGGCTTGGATTGAGAGGCAGCAGTTAGAAAACTGGAGGTTTACCTTCTCATATGTTTAGGTGGTATCTACATATCCTTTGCATCATTCCAGAGCCAGATGAAGTCAGAGCTGGCAGCTGTGGCCTCAGAGTTTGGGCGGCTAACACGGTTTCTGGCTGAAGAGCAGGCAGGGCTGGAGAGGCGCCTCCGAGAGATGCATGAAGCTCAGCTGGGGCATGCTGGCGCAGTGGCCAGCCGCCTCACAGAGCAGGCTGCCCAGCTGAGCCGCCTGCTGGCTGAGGCCCAGGAGAGGAGTCAGCAGGGGGGCCTTCGGCTACTCCAGGTGAGCAGTCCTCCCCCATTCCCCTAGCTCCCTGTATTTCCTACTCAGAGCTGCCTCTTTTCTCACTGTGAAGTACCCAGTGATTTAACCAAGAAATTACTACCATTTTCTTTTTTTGGTACTGGGTATCGAACTCAGGACCTTGCACTTGCAAGGCAGGCACGGTGCCACTGAGCTAAATCCCCAGCCCACCAAAAATGCTTTTTTGAAGCTAGAGACTGTTGAATGTGATGTAAATGAAAGGAAGGAAGATTAAGTTTAGGAGGGGTTTAAGTGCATTAAGAGAATAATTTTTGACAGTGACATCCTGAAAAAGATGACCAAATCATATTGTGAAAATTCTTTGTACTGAGCTCACAGCAGGATGAAATAAATTAGGTGTGGTGAGGCCTGGGGGGTGGTTGAGGTTGAGGTGGATGCAAGTTTATTAAGAGCTCTGCCACTCCCTTCCAGATCAAGTTCAGTCCTTTCTCTGGCTGGAGATTAGGAGAAAATAGTTGTCTCTGTATGGCTGACACTCTCTTTATCTCTTTCTCCCTCTCCTTTTTATTATTCCCAGGACATCAAGGAGACTTTCAATAGGTGTGTTCCCACGCTACCCTCTGTGACCCAGTAGCATCTGGTTCCCCGTCCCTGCCTTTCTTGGGTATCCCTCTCCTCTCCTTCCTTCCCTAGGACCTGACATTCTGTTTCCTGGACCCTCCTCTCCTTCCCCTCAGCTTCTGCTTTTCCCTCTGGGATTACCATGGTCCCACCCCCTGCCCGGTCCCCTTCCTCTAGGTGTGAAGAGGTACAGCTGCAGCCCCCAGAGATCTGGTCCCCTGACCCATGCCAACCCCATAGCCATGACTTCCTGACAGATGCCATCGTGAGGAAAATGAGCCGGATGTTCTGTCAGGCTGCGAGAGGTAGGGAGGTCACATATAAGACCTTCCTTTGCCTTTCCTTTCAGACCTGAGATTGGGTTCTGAGGAAGATGGGCCCTGTGGAAGTGTAGGGGGCTGAGAGGGAGCAGGTTACAAGTAGACCACTCTGGGATTTCAAGCCAGAGTAGCTTCTGTCCTAGCCCAGGTAGGTTTTGGGTGAGGTGGCAAGGGCCAGGGACAGGGGAAGGCCTGTCAGGTGTCCTGGGAACAAGAATGGGGAAAGGGGTGGAGCCCGAAAGAAAGTGAGCCTGGCCTTTATTTATGATGGTGCGGGGAGCTGAGGAAAGCTGGATGGGGTCTATGAACAGAACAGGGGGAGCAAGGACAGGAAAGGCCCAACCTGTGGAGTCGGCTGCTGATTGGGAACAGTTGTTCCAGCCCTGGCGTATTTGTCCTCCCTCCTCCCAAGTGGACCTGACGCTGGACCCTGACACGGCTCACCCTGCCCTGATGCTGTCCCCCGACCGCCGGGGTGTCCGCTTGGCAGAGCGGCGGCAGGAGGTTGCTGACCATCCCAAGCGCTTCTCGGCTGACTGCTGCGTACTGGGGGCCCAGGGCTTCCGCTCTGGCCGGCACTACTGGGAGGTAGAGGTGGGCGGGCGGCGGGGTTGGGCGGTGGGTGCTGCCCGTGAGTCAACCCATCCTAAAGAAAAGGTGGGCTCCGGGAGTCCCGCTGTGGGCAGTGGGGATGCCAGCTCCTCACGCCATCACCATCGCCGTCGCCGTCTCCACCTGCCCCAGCAGCCCTTACTCCAGCGGGAAGTGTGGTGTGTGGGCACAAATGGCAAACGATACCAGGCCCAGAGCTCGACAGAGCAGACACTGCTGAGCCCAAGTGAGAAGCCACGGCGCTTCGGGGTGTACCTGGACTATGAGGCTGGGCGCCTGGGCTTCTACAATGCGGAGACTCTAGCCCACGTGCACACCTTCTCAGCTGCCTTCCTGGGCGAGCGTGTCTTCCCCTTTTTCCGGGTGCTCTCAAAGGGAACCCGCATCAAGCTTTGCCCTTGATTAGCCTGCCACCCGCAGGGGCCCCTCTGGTCAGCACTAGGGGGGCGGGTGGTGGTGGATGGTGGCCCATTACTGCATTGTTTCCTGCTTTCCCTTGACCCCAGGCCCCTGCTTCTCCCCCTAGGAACCTAAGAACCCTCCTGGCCTCCAGCTCTGCCTTTTCTCACCTACTGTGTCTGCCCAACAGGTCTGCATGGGTCTCTGATAATGAGAACAACTGCTTGGTTTTCCTTCCCTGTCTGCCTAGTCCAGTCCAGCCCTTGGGAGTTTCGAGTAGGAAAGATTGTAATTTGATTCCTTCTTTCCCTCACCCTTGCTCTTCAACCATTATGTCAGTTCTAAGGGTAGAGGGCTTGGGCAAGACTCATAACATCCCCATCTTGTTTCCTGGTGCAAACTTTAGATGGGATTTGGAAACTTTTGGGGGAGCCATGCTGGGCAAAAGGGTCAAGCTGGGTAAAGAAATGTCTGCTTTCTTGGGGAAGTAGGAGGGATTCTAAGCTTTCCTTCCACCCCTAATTTCTACCTCCTTAGACTGGTCAGAATTTAGCCCAGTGAGATGACTGATATGGTTTGAACTACAGTACATGCTATTACATCCACCAATAAATTATTCCTACACCCATCCTTTTCCCAGCACTCAATCTAAAGAGCAAAACTCCCTACCTTACCCCTCTAGGCCTTTTCATCACCAGGGCCGTTTCGTTTGTCCACTGGAGCTGCTTTTAGTTTTCAGCCTCTCCCAAAGCCTTTGAATTCCATTTGACAAGCTCTGAGGGGAAGCCCAGGGACAAGGATTTGGGTGCCTGGGAGAGACTTGGGCACAATATATTTTTCTAGTAACTCCTTGCTGTCACTTAATCAGTTTTTGTTCATGGCTGAGGTCAATTTATATGTTCCTGGGGAAAAGGGAAAGGTGAAAATTGTGTTGCAGAAATAAAATGTTTATTTGCTTCTTCTGTGGAGACCATTTCTTTTGACCAACAGAATGTGAGGATCTCCCTTTAAGTGTGCCCCCCCCCCCACTGGGGATTGAATTCAGGACCTTGCACTTGCTAGGCAGGGGCAGGACTGATGAGTTATGTCTGTCACACCTGGAACCTGTTCATACTACAGGATCCTTTCTCAAGGACTGAGCTACTATAACCACCTCCCCTCAACACTACCTGATTTAATGGCACATGACTTAGAATCTATTTTGAGATTATTTGCCACTCTATTTCTGCTTTGAGATGCTAGGAAGGACTGAAGTTTCCTCAAAAACCTTCACAAAGACAAAACCAGGACCTTGGGACACATTTCCAGTGTGAGCACATACAACTGAATCAGAAGCACCAGGTTTCCTTACCACTATGAAGTGACTAAAGACATGAAGGGTGCATACAGGCCTTTAATATGCTGTGGCTGTTTACCCAGAACTGCACAACTGTGCACTGCAACATGGTCCCTCCCTTCCTCTTACTATAAGACCCTTGCCCACCTTTAGATTCGAGGCAAAGAGACCCTACATCTCCAGAGCTAACTTTGAACAAATCTTTCCCCAAAATATGTGGGGTGTTTATCATTTGGTTAGCAGCAAAGGAACCTGAATGGTGATTAAAAGTACCACCACTTGGGCTGGGGATTTAGTTCAGTGGTTTCACTGCCTGTCTTGCAAGTGCAAGGTCCTGAGTTTAATCCCTGGTACCAAAAAAAAAAAAAAAAAAAAAAGTTTTAGTTACTGCTACATGCCTGTATCAGGATTGCTTAAAATAATGATAGTTCTGTATTAACTTTTTTACCTCATAACCTGGGTTGGAGATTTGAGTCGAGGCAATGTGATATTTATATTTTATAATACTTTGTTAGCCTCTTATGAAAGGAATTGGGTGAGTAAATACCAATTCCTCTGCTAAGAAGTTACTCTGACAAAAAAAAAAAAAAATTGTCTTCAGCAGCAAATTGATGGAGAGTACGGTAACCTGAAATGTTTCCTGAACGTGTAACTTTGAAGGAATGGGTACATTCACCTCTTTAATTTGCTGTTAGAGGAGTTCAACCTGAGGGATCTATTCCTAAATTGACTGTGACAACCTTGAAATAGTCACTTATGCTCAAGAAAATCTCCCTAAGCTTACAGCAGGTCACAAATATGACCTACAACACAGAACCTGTGATAAGGGGAATGTTTGGGAAACTAACCTATATGACTTCCCATAAACGTCACTTCTGACGCCAGTCCAATCCTATAGGAAACTAAGACTGGTATCTGCCCCCTTTCCCCACAAAGCCCCTGGTCAACATGCTTAGGTTTGCCATTGCCATCTGAATTGTCTTAACCTGTAAACAGCATAGGTAAGATGCTTTTTTGCTTAGCAGAGAAATGTATCTGTTTTATTATGTTTTTTGAAGCAGGGTCTTGCTATCTTGCCCAGGCTGGCCTCAAATGATCTTCCTGCCTGAGCTTACCACGTAGTTGGGATTACAACAAGCATGTATCACTGCTGCTGCTGAAAAAAATACTGTCTAAAAGTTAGAACTGAAGGCAGTTTTAGAAAGCCAGTTTATTTTTTAAAGCTGACATGTTTCTAGCGGGTGCCAATAGTCACCTGCCACACGCGCACCAGGTTATCTGTGTAGCCAGCAAACAGAGTCTGTAAAGGAGAAACAACAATCATATGTCAGGCTCAGCCAATGGACTCTGCAGTCCCAAGATGGCCTTTCCTTTAAGAGCCCCCTCCCCTTAACCACCAGATTGCAGGAGCTGATCACATTCTCCTAGCGGAAGAACAAGCTGGTGATAAGGACTCAAGACGTTTTAAAACTAAAGTAGGTTACTGAAAGTAACCACTACCCTCTAGATCACTCTTTTCTATGATGCAGAATACATACTTGGCATTCACTGGCACAGCTGACCAGTTTACCCTAATCAACCTGGCCAGCTTGTCGTTTTATGTCAGACACTAGTCTTGTGACTGATTAGACACAGCAGAAAAAATGGAGACAAGTACAGGCAGTCACCTGAGGACAGATCCACTTACTTGGCCATCAGCAGACCAGGCCAAAGAGGTGCACTGAGGGGGTTCTGCCTTGCTGCTGGTACTGATAACTTCTTGCTTCAGTTCATCGACTATGATCTTACCCTCCAAGTCCTGGGAACAGGTCAAAACCAGAATAAGGACAGACCTAACACTTACAATACTGAGTTCTCTTTTGCTCCCCATAAGAGTATGTGGCAATGCCTAGAAGTATCTAGCTGCTAGCTAAAAATAATACTGTTAAATATCCTAAAACGTACACGATGAATACCCACAACAAAGAATTATCTAGACCAAAAGGATAGTTATGCCTAGGTTTAGTAAGTCAACCTACCTGGTCATCCATTTTAATAGGCAGTATCTCTCCCTCCTGTTGCCAGAATTTTAATCCTAGGAAATTTTAACCTTCTTGGGTCTCCGTTAAACAGTTTAATGGTCAGCATTTATTCAGGAAGCTTGACTCCCAGTAAATCGGCACATATAGCCATCACAATATTAGTACGGCAGGGGTAGTGGTTAGAATACAGACAGGTATTAAATCCATCATATAGCCACACTCACCCAGATCTTGATGCTGGGGCCAGTAGCAGCACAGAGCCAATAGCGGTTAGGGCTGAAGCACAAGGCATTAATGATGTCACCTCCATCTAAAGTATAAAGATGCTTGCCTTCATTGAGATCCCACAGCATGGCCTGGCCATCCTGGGCAGAGAGGAAAAGATGAACAACCTCTTCCACATGTCAATCCCAACCATCTGAAGAGTATATAAAACTGATTCTCATTTTCCCCACAGTACGCTGGGTTTCTAAAAGCTAATGACTCAAGTACAGTATTTCTCTAAACCCTTTATTCAATGCATGAAACCTTACTAGCTATATTAAGAGCCTCTAACAACTTACAAATAACTCACTATGATAAGTTCTGAAAACAAAGGCTCACCTATTGCTTCAGGGAACTATAGAAAACAGCTTTTCTTATCTTACAAAAAATGTATTTTTGGGGCCAGGGATTTAGCTCAGTGGTTTCACTGCCTGTTGCGCAAGCACAAGGACCTGAGTTTGATCCCCGGTACAAAAAAACCAAAAAACAAAACAAACATGTATTTTTGGACAACTTGGCTAATTTTAAAGTGCCACTTTATGTCAAAGACACAAACTACAATATTCTATAATACCATCGAGTAGGATGCCTAGCTTCCAAGTACCTTGCCTCCAGAAGCACACAGGGATCCATCCGGAGAGACTGTCACAGTGTTCAGATAGCCAGTATGGCCAATATGGTTGGTTTTCAGCTTGCAGTTTGCCAAATTCCATACCTACAAAGACAGACATTCACAGATTAAACAGTCTAGCTCTAGAATGGCCAGGATGAGGTGAGTTCAAGTTCAACCAAAAAAGGGCATGGCTTATTCATGTCAATGTCACTCAAAACAGGTTAACAAAAGCTGTGAGGTAACCTATGAGAAGCATCAATTAGTTATTTCAGACCAAACGTGAAAAACTAATGACGTGTACTGAAAAGACACCAAGAGAGAAAAAGTAAATGGAGGTAACTTACAGAATGTTCACAGTTGAAGCCTAGGACCACCAAGGGAGGTAATGGCCACACTGTGGCTCATAAAGGCCCTGTACCCTGGCATGAAGCTCACCTTGACCAGCTTGTCCCAGCCACAGGAGACAATGATAGGGTTGCTGCTATTGGGTGAGAAGCGGACACAAGACACCCACTCCGAGTGACTCTCATCCTACAGGATGAAAAGAAACAGTTCCATCCCAGGATACGTTAGATTTCCCCGCCCCATGGGTAAGTAACATTGCATTCATTTTCTGAGAACCCAAACTTTCAAGACCCAGGTTAGATTGCAGGCCTAATTTAAAACAACCCAAGGGCAAAAGGATGGGACACAACCCTGAACATGTGCTCTGTCCCTGCTTTCACTTTACCTGGACAGTGTATTTACATACACCCAGAGTATTCCATAACTTTATGGTCTTGTCTCGGGATCCAGAGACAATCTGTCGGTTGTCAGAGGAAAAAGCAACACTCAGCACATCCTTGGTATGGCCTACAAATCGTCTTGTGGTGGTGCCCCTGGGAGAACAGTACTTGGTTACTCTCTAGACAGACTTGACAAACTTTCTCCTTCCAGTCAGATCCTTACCCTGGCCTGTCCCTGACCAAGAATGGGACACTGCTCATACAATCATGGAAGTGGCTTGGATCACACTAAGCCTCTGGTTGAGTTTATGGGAGAGAATCCACTCAGAATTGCAGGACATGTCCTCATTCCCTTCTGGGGATTGGCTGACAATGTCATCTGTCATCACCAGGATCCTCTATTACACCTGCCAAACAGTTGACCACTCAGGACAGCTTTTAAGACAGAGTATGTTCAAACTATAGCCAAGTTCCTGCTACATCTGGCAAAATATATTCAACTAGGCTAGTCCTCAGCAACCCAGAGTATCTAGCTCAAAGAAAGAAGGCTAAACAACTGCCAACTGTCTTCCGTAAGTATGCTTAGCTGTATCCTCCCAAATGGACCAGATCTCCTCTAAGACACCACCTCCCAAAGGCATCTACCTTATTTCTGCCCAGCTTTCTTTCCCAAGACCCCAGAGGAACTACTTGCGTTGTAAGATCCCAGAGGCGCAGGGTCCCATCCCAGGAGCCAGAGAGGGCAAACTGGCCATCTGAGGAGATGACAACATCACTAACAAAGTGGGAGTGACCCCTCAGAGCACGCTGAGGGATGCCATAATTGGTTTCATCCCTGGTCAGCTTCCACATGATGATAGTCTTGTCTAAAAAAAGGAGGTAAAATAAAAGATAAGGAAAACCAGTAAGGAATCCCAGGTGTCTCAGGGTCATGAGTGGGTTAACAAAATGAAAAGGTCACTTAACTCAGGTGGTTACTGTAGGGTTAGGAGCAGTTACTATC